GAAGGAAGAGTGTCATTGTGAGGGTGGGCTTTAAGATCTCTTGTTCAAGTTTCCTTCAGTGTTCAACTTCCGGTTGCCTGCCAGATGTAGAACTCTCAGCTCCAGCACATCTACCTGCATGCCACCATACTCCCTCCCGGTCATGATGATAATGGACTGAACCTCTGAAACTGTAATCGAGCCGACCCAATTAAATGTTTTCTTTGTAAGAGTTGACGTGGAGCTGGGCAGTAGTGGCACACGCATGCCTTTAATCCCAGCACTTGGGAGGCAGAGGCAGGCGGATCTCTGAGTTCGAGACCAGCCTGGTCTACCAAGTGAGTTCCCAGGACAGCCAGGACTATTACAGAGAAAACCTGTGTAAAAAAAGGAAAAAAAAAAAAGGAGTTGAGGTGGGCATGGTATCTCTTCATAGCAATAGAAACCCTAAGACAATTCCCAGGACACACTAAAGTCACTACACACAATTTCAGATGCATTCTAGGTTTTGATGGCAGAAGTACTTGGTCCAGTTTTTCTGAAACAAGAAAGGTTATCGTATCCACCTAATTGAAATTCAGAGTTAAGTGCATTTTTGTCAGAATCACAGAAAGGAAGTGCTGTATATCATCACCTAATTACAAGTTATCCAGGAAAGAAATCACCTGAAGCCATGGGCCATGGATAAGCCAATAAATAAAGAAAATGGGTCACTTACCTTGACCTGCAGTAAATTTCTCCCTCCCCATTACACTATAAAGGGAGATTAGGGACCTCAACTAATGAGCAGTAGTCTTTGTACCTGTGCCCTGAGAAATAGGATCCTATTGCAGCCGTTTCCATGCTCATGTACAAAATTGGAGGACCATCAGCAATGTAGACACCAGTCCCTTGCCAGAAAGGGCACATGAACACCATAGGGCCAATGGAGGAGGGGAAGGAGTCACCAGCAGTGGGTACTTTAAACCAAATAAAAATCGAGCCCTTCTTGTCAGTGGTTTTTCAGCTCTGGGTCCCTTCTTAACATGAAGTCCACACTGCTTGCCCATAAAACTTAGTTCTTGTGTGCCTCATAATTCTTTAACTGTTAAGAGAAAAATAACCTGAACCCTAACCTGCAACCAACTCTAAGGAGCCACAAGCAGGGTCAGGTCACTATTAATCCAAGACTAAAATGAGTAGATGAGCAATTCTAGAGAATATCAACTCTGAGGAAGAGGGGTGGGTAAAGACCTGGGTGGTAAGGTATTTACCCAAATGGGCATCAATAGACTGTAGTACATAACCTAATTTATTCCATGTTTGTATAATCCCTTTTATCCTACTATTAAGTTCTTTGACCCATACTACAGAAATTCCAAGTACTACTTATTTTTCCTTCTGACTGGACATTTAAGTCCATGTTTACTAACCCTAAGGTTGTGTTGTCTGAGTCTATTCTTATGTAAGTCCTTAAACAGAAATGCAAATGAGCTCTGTATATAACTGCAAAATACAACTTGACAAGGATAAGAGATTTTTATGAATGAAAATACAAGTGCACTGTGGTGGTTTGAATGAGAATGGCTCCCACAGGATCATTGGTCATCAGTCAGTGGCACTACTTGAGAAGGATTAGGTATGGCCATGTGGAGGAAGTTTGTCACAAGTGGGGGGGGGGGGGTTGAGGTTTCAAAAGCCCAAGCCAGGCCCAGTCTCTTTTCTTCTGCTGTTGGCAGATCTGGAAGTAGAACTCTCTGTTACTCTTCCAGAACTCTCAGCTCCAGCACATCTACCTGCACTATGTTTGACTGTGTGCCACCATACTCTTCCAGCACTATGTTTGACTGTGTGCCACCATACTCCCTGCCACGAAGATGATGGACTAAACCTCTGCAATTGTAAGCAAGCCTCATTTAAAATGCTTTCTTATATAAAAGTTGCCTTGGTCATGGTGTGCCTTCACATCAATAGATCAATGACTAAGGCATAAACCAAGGCATCAGACTACAAAGCATTTGCAGAAGGAAAAGAACTTGATGCTCTCTGTACTCCTGGGCATTTGCATTTTTCCCCACTTGGATCAAGTGGGTGGAAAAAAAAGGCCCACACCAAGTCCCAGAGACCTTCAAATTTAATACTCTAAGGCTAATACAGATTCTAGAGCATTCAGAGAAAGATTATTTGCTACTAAAACCCATTCAACAGATAAAATTAATTTGTCTTCAGGTGTGTGAATATGGGATAACACAAAGGGTATATTTCTTGTTTTTATTTCAACATTTAAAATATTCACAGGTGGCGTAATAGGTTCATTGACATCTCCATGGAAGATGTGCCAAACAAAGCATACAGGCATTCCACAATTATAGAATTACATATTTGTCACTATATGCATGTTTTACACTACAGTTTATCTGGAAAAACACTTTTCTTAAAAAAAAAATTTTTTTTAGTGTTTCACTACCTTATTTCCATAGAAAATGAACCACAAAGAATTCCAGAAGAGATACCTAAATATAACTCAACAGTTCGTAAGATTTCCAAGCCTTTATGGCAAGCACTGTGCTAACATTCCTGTCAGGAACACTTACATAAATGTTCAGTCCCTTCTCCTTCCCTCTGTAGCCAGGCCAGGATGCATTTTTCTCCATGATTTTTCTCTAAGTTGCTGTCTTTAAGGTATTATGCAGAACAAATTGGCTACCACAGGATCTTGACTAGGTAATGAGGTAGTACTTCCCAAGTTTTTAGCATTTGTGAAGCAAAACAAAATATAGTTTTTCTAAGTGATTTGTTTAAATAAAATGCCACGGGCACTAGAAATTGGTCAAAGGCTGCTTTTACTCTAAAAGACAAAGAGGAAAACCCATTTGGAAGCCTTGCTACTAAGCATATTAAAGGGCAAACCTTCAAACAGATACTAATTATTTCAGCAAAGTAAATGAGATACTTATGCCTCAAAATATCATGCCTCCTTCTTGGAGAAATCTTATTGTGATGGTCAGTGTTAATTGCCAACTTAACAGAATCTAGAATTATATGGAAGATGGGCCTCTAGGTATGTCTAGAGCATTATCTTGATTCCTTTGAGGTGGAAAGACCTGCCCACCTGGCACCAGTTCATGGCTAAGCCAAAGACTAAATGAAAAGGAGAAGGAACTAACTGAGCATGCATTCACGGCTCTCAGCTTCCTGACTAGGATGCAATGTGTCTAGATGTCTGGAGTTCCTGCAGTTGTGACTGGTTGCAAAAATGGACTGTAACCTGAACTGTGAGTCGGAATCATCCCTTTCTCCCTTGCACTATTTTGTCAGGGACCTTTGTCAGAGCAACAAAAAAGAAACTAAGACACTGAGGAGATAAAAGAGTCTGAATAAAAAAACATATGGACTATACCTTCCTGTTCAGTCTGAGTTAGTCTACTCTTTTAACCTAATTCTCTTTTTTTCTACAGGCATAAAGAAAAAGCTTAATAACTCTGGTATACTACCTACTCTGTGCTATTAGTGAGTAAATTTAGCTATTAACATAGCAAATTATGCCAGAGAAAGTTTTCCACATGGAGATTTTATTATACTAAGCAGCTAGTAATGCCTAGGTAACAGATGACAGCACCATCTCTCCAAAGGAGATAGTTAAAATGCATACACACCTCTAAATTCAAATTTACCTATTATTCCCTCTTCATCAACACTAAAACTGAAGTTTTATGTTCTAACTACCCTTTCTCTAAATGGCAAAATAATACTTTACAAAACTAATTATGTTAATGAAATGCAACACAGTTATGTTCCAAATAAGGAGAGTATCCCTCAAGAATGAATAAGGTATAAATAATTTCTTGAACACTTTGGTACCTATAAAGGCAAAATAAGTGAGATTTCTTTATCAATTTGCAGTAACACACTAAAATTACCTAAAGAATATCTGTGGGAGGGCAGGTTAATGAGGCCTGGCAGATGGATTTTTAATTAAATCCTTGAAATTCTATACAATGTTTAGACAATAGAACCAAACATAGTTATAAGATAATGCAATTCTGACATGGCAGCCCCCTGATTGGCAGTTAGTATTTACATGTCTTTAAACCATCCTTGTTACTTAGTATTCTGCCTACCACTGTCATACTGTTGTCACCAAAATATCATGTACACACCATTTAGTTTCAAGAAAATTCCTTTCCCATCACAGGCCACGTCTCTTCTGTGTGGTGAGTTTCTTTGTAGGTACTCTTCCCCTAAGGAACACTGCCCTATTCACTAGGGCAACAGCCTTAAAATCTGTGCCTGTCTATCATTGTGGTTAAAATGAAAACCAATGAACAGAGTCTATCAAACTTAGCATCAAGTCTAGAAGTCTCTTGTCCAGATTAAAACAGTCAAGTCTTAACAACTGTTCACATAATCTACAATGACAATAAAGCTCAGTGACTTGTCTACATATAATCCATTCATTATTAGAATATAATAGTAAGCCAGCAAGTTTCACAATTTTTAACTAAAGTCTAATCTAGTTTAATATCTGACTTTACAGACATCATCCCAGTGTGAATATGTTTACTAAGTGAAAGCTCATCAGACATCAAAGTCACTATGTTCTGTAGACTAAGTAACACCTACACAGAGGTATGAGTAATGACATACACTTGATTGGAGCTCTTATACAAGCCATGTTACCAAACAACTATCCGCTAATATTTAACACAGTAGACTTAGGAGGCAATAACAATGACAGTTTGACTTTCCAAACCAGCATAATATATCCAAGTAAAGAGTGATGTAAAAATTGAACACGAACTAAGTTAAGTTACTAGGGAAACTGAAGAAAAAGTAAAGCATTGCTGTGAAGAGGAAAATTCAACAAATTTGCTTAGAAAGGAAGAGATTTGAGGAAGCATTTCACAAAGCAATCCTTTAAGAAGCTCAATGCAATACAAATCCTTCTAAACGTAAAGGCTGAGTCAATTCTATGCCTATAAAGGTTGTTCTTTTGGCCTTAAACAGTAAACTAGTCTTTTGATCAAAAAAAGCTACAACAGTTAAGATTGTAATGACTTTATTTTACACTAGGTAGGGGACACAAAGCAATCCTCTTTAATAAAGTTGACATTTAGCTTCACTCAGAACATTTTAATAATGCACATTAAAAAAAAAAAGTATTCACCTTACAAATTGTTCTGCAATCCAAATATACAACAGCTTGGAAAACAACATTTAGAAAACAAAAGCCAATGTAAAAAGACAGATTGGAACAACTACAACAGTCCAGGTTTGATATGGCTCAGATTTTACAGCTTTCTTACTGCATCATCTATGTCAGAGATCTGTTCCTTCAGCTGGCTCCATTGCTCCATGTTTAAAGAAATGCCTAAACATAAAGGTTAAGAAATACAAGATGAAAATCAAGCCACCTTGGATATTTTGACATTCCCAAATATTTTATCAAAAGTGCCATTTTACTCATGTGGACTTTTTAGTGCTGAGGACAGAATCCAGACCTCACACATGACACATACACCCTCTATTACTAAGCTACTTCACCAGCTCCAAAACTGCCATTTTGAATAGCCCAATACTAGAATATTGAGGTCTTGTGAGAGATTTATATTGAGATATTAAAATTTTAATTTGTTAATCCCAGGTTCAAGTTTGTATCCAGTTTAACTTCCAACAGTGCATCTGCATAATGCATTGTGACCAATAAGAACTAATGATAATTTGAAGACATTTCACATATATACATGCAGGTTAAGAGTCAGGACCCATATTTGGCATAAGACACTACCAGTGTTACATCTTTTCACTGCCACTTCCAGCATTTGTTACATATTTCCACCAAAATTCAAGGTGTACAGCTAGCTCTGTGCTGAGTTCTTCCATAAGCATGCATTCCACTTTAGGAAACTCCCTAGAGAGTGGCTTATAAGAAGCATGGCAGAATGCACAATTCAGATAGAGACATGAGTACACTCTGGATTCATGCTATCAGGAGCAAAGCTCAGGCTCACCTTCCCTAGCTGCATTTTCTAGGCTGTTTCTTAATCAGTAATTGAGACACATCAAAGGGTGATTATATTAAATTGGTTAACACGAAACTTTAGCTTATTAACATATAACATCCAACACATAAGCAAACAATATATTTTTTAGAAAATTATGAGGGACCATGCAAAGGAGAACACAGTAAAAAGAAGCATGAAGAAAAGGCTTTGAGGCTAACTGAATTCCTTCGGTAAATGTTTGCAAGAACAAAATCTGGCATTAGCCACCCCGGAAAATCCTGACTGAAAACTCAGACAAGAATTAAACAGCAAAGAAACAGCTTTCTTTTCTTTAAAAAGAAAGCTTTTAAAACAAACTCCAAAATTGTGTGAAATAAGTGCCACCTTTAACAACAGGCACAATAGTATTAGAGAAGGAAGCACTTTTTTCCTGTTATTAAAAATCTGTCATTTAATTAATGAATGAGCACATGTATACATATGTGGGCCCACCTGTGCCACAGAGTTTACAACAGTGTAGATAGTATCTATTCTCTCTTTCCACCTCTTGGACCCTTGGATCATCAGGCTTAGCTGCGAGTGCCTTTACCTGCTGTGGCATTGTACCTTACTGGTCCAAGATCAACCTAGAGCACATACTACACAAATTTAGGTTGTGCAGTGGTTAATCTTTTATTAGCATAAGCATACGCAAAAACAATTTCACTACGGCATTTTTTGTACATGTATATTGTGTATTTTGATTAAGTTCACCTTCCACTCCCCTCTCTAGTACCCCTTTCCTACTCATGTCTCTTCCCAACTAGTATCCTTCTACTTTTGTATGATATGGAAGTTTTCTAGCTACTTGGTGTCAGAATAAAATGTTTCTACACGCTAAGAGGCTTGGGACTGTGTGAAGCACCAACAGTAAGGGGACAGAGACCCACTTGAAGGATTTTGTCCTAAACAACAGTCTATTGGAGCTAAATCCAAAGGAAACACTAAATCCAGAATTTTTCTGTTTCTCATTTTACAATTTCCCAAGTAATAATTAATCTGATGTAAAATCAAAAAGAAAATTAAAGTAAGGTAGTAATCAATTTGACATTAGAATGTTGTTTTCCTAGGTTTCATTACAAGTTGATCTGTATACAACCTGCAACCATTTAAGGTAGGTATGCAGTCAACACTAACATCAAATTGAAACAAACGAAGCCTTACCTTTTCTTCCTGGTTTCATTTCACCTTCTGAGTCCATCCAATATTCTCTAATATCAATTAGAATTTTTCCTTTAAAGTCCCGAACACTGACATATCTCATCTTCCCAATCTAGCAAAGGAAAGAAAGAAAACTCATAGAGTTGTTCAAACTTGCTGCAGACTAATGCCATTTATAATCCTAAAAATAAGTACTGAACTATAACCAAGGGAAAATCAATGCTTAAAAAAAAAACATAAGGAAGCACATGTGGTGGCCCATGCCTTTAATCCCAACTCTCAGGAGGCAGAGGCAGGCAGATCTATGTGAGTTTGAGGCCAGCCTGATCTACAAAAGCTACACAGAGAAACCCTGTCTCAAAAAACAAAAGACATAAGCAAACAGAGCAAATCTCCAATTTCTACATGGGAGGATATCAAGCACATGTGTCCACATATGACGTCCAGAAAATGACTTCAGGTGTCTTTCTCATTCTTTGCCTTGCCTTGAGAAAATCTCTCACTGAACTAGAAGCTCACTGTAAAGGCTAATTTGGCTGGCCACAGAGTACTTGTCTCTGCCCCTCAGTGCTGGGAGTATAGGCATCTGCAACCAAATCCAATGTGGGTGCCTGGTATTCAAATTCAGATCCTCATGTTTGCACTACAAGCACTTCTGCCTACTGAGCTCTCTCTCTCCCTTCAGCCTCACTTTCGCCAAAGTAAGTAGAATGGATGTCCTTCAAAAAACTAAAGCCATGACATGTTCCAATAACCCGACTTTGGTGTATATAACTCTCGTGTACTACTTAACAGACTGGGTATATTCTGAGGAATGCATACTCAGAAGAGGCTCCTGTGTGAACATCAATATGTACTGCTTACACACTATGGTACCAATCCTATAGTACCCTCACTGTATATGTGCTGTATTACTGACTGAAACTTGAGGCACATAACCATACATCCAAAAAGACTGGCAGTAGGGTCTCCCAAAAGACATTTGCACATCCATGTCCTTAATTGCACTATTCACAACAGCTAAGTAGAAACAAAGCAAAAGTCCATCCTAAGATGAAAACAAACAGAATGTGATTTACATATGCAATGGAACATTATTCAGCCTTTATAAAGGAAATTCTGTCACATGTTATATAGCTCTGTGCTAAGTGAAATGAAACAGTCATAGAGTAACAGTAATACTATTTGATTCAACTTAAATGAGATAGTTAAAGCCCAACTCAGTCAAACTCATAGAAATTACAAAGAAAACCGGCTCAGGAAACAAGGCAGGTAGCTCTGTATTCAAGATTATTGGTTTATACACAGCAAGTTCCAGACCACCCAGGGCTATATAGTGAGGCCCAGTCTCTTAAAAAAAAAAAAAAAGTATGTTGGCTTAACAAACTATGTGTTTTGAGTGTCCCCACTTTCTAGATTCAGTAAATGTAAGGACAATGTGGTACTAAACCAGATAGACATAGGAGAAGAGGTAAGATAGCAGTCCAGAAATAGAAACACATATAAAAGTCACCTAGTTATTTGGAAAAGGTCCAAGGTATCCAAAGGAAGCACAGTTGTGGTGGTCTGAATGAAAATGGTATCCATAAGCTCAGAAAGAGGGCATTATTTGAAAGGATTAGGGAATGTGGCCTTGTTAGAATAGGTATGGTTTTGCTGGAGGAAGTGTGTCACTGGGAGCAGGCTTTGAGGTTTCAGAACCTCAAGCCAGGCCCAGTGTCTCTCTCTTCCTGCTGCCTGAAGATCCAGATGTAGAATTCTCAGCTACTTCACCAGTACCACGTCAGGCTGCATGACACCATGCTTCCTGCCATGATAATGGACTAAATAAACCTCTGAATTTTAAGTCAACCCCAATTAACTGTAAGTTAGCCCTTGATCCTTCTCTCACATCATACAATGATGTTTCTGTATGTACCAACACGAAAACTATAACTATACAATTCCTTACAAAAAAAATCCTGGCAAAAATGTTATGCCCGTAAGGTAAGCAAGGTGTTGTAAAAAGAAAACAAGCATTAATCACACAGGAAAATACTGACACAAGAGAATTAAAAATTAAAGCCTACCCTTAACGAGAACTCAAGTAAGTTTCCTTAAAGAAAACAAAATTATGCCTGGCAGTGGTGGTGAACACCTTTAATCCCAGCACTCGGGGGAGGCAGTGGCAGGTGATCTCAGTGAATTTGATGCCAACCTGGTCTACAAAGCAAGTTCCAGGACAGCCATGACTGTTATACAGAGAAACCCTGTCGCAAAAAGACAAAAACAAAATAATAATAATAAAAGATCACCATACTTAGTACAGCAAAGGACTTATAACCAAAATACAGCCTTGCAACTCAGTATTATCACTCTAGGTTGTTTTGTTTTTAAATAGGAAAAAAAAATAAAAAAATGAATAGTTACATTGTTCCCAAAAAATGTAAAAATAGCCAAAGAACATAATCAAAGATATACACACACAAAAGATCAATGCAAAATAAAACCACTCTGAGTTTCCAATACAAACATTTTAAACTAAACTGAGTAAAATGTAAAAGACTGAAAGTATACATAAAAACAACTTGTACTAATATTCACAAGACCTTTATTCCTAGTAGCCCAAAACTAAAAAAAAAAAAAAAAAAAAAAAAAAAAAAAAAGGGGGGGGGGGGGGGAATGATGGTGGTGGCGGTACATGCCTTTAATCCCAGCACTCGGGAGGCAGAGGCAGGCAGATCATTGTGAGTTTGGACTAGCCTGGTCTACCTCCAAAGCAACAGAGAGACCCTGTCTCAGAAAAAAAAAAAATTCATACGAAGGGACATTTTATTACACAACCCAGTGTTAGGAAGCAATCTTTAATAATTACTTGCCTGTGTGGGTATATGTATGCTCTTGATAAAAATGAAGAATACAGAAATTAGGCAGCCATTTAAAGAAATAAAAACCAACAAAACACAGTGGGCTTACTGTTTTCTCTTTCAGAAATCCCATTGTTTATCTTCCTAATGCAATGATCAAGCCATTATTATTAATAAAAATGCAGGTCTCCTTTAGTATTATGCAATCTATGGATCTCTGAAAGCCAATTTGAAAGTAAGAACAATGTTTCCTCCTAGATACACACTTTCAAAAGATCACCTACTGAATGGCCTTAAGCCCTAAGATTCACAGGAACCTTTCCATAGGAGGATTTAAGAGCCAATGCGGGGCTGGACAGATGGATGAGAGGTTAAGAACACTGGCTTCTCTTCCAGAGGTCCAGAGTTCAATCCCCAGCAACCACATGGTAACTTACAACCACCTATAATGACATCTGGTGCCCTCTTCTGGCGTGCAGACATACATGCAGACAGAACACTATATACATAATAAATAAATCTTAAGAACCAACATGATTTTTTTCCTTAGTGAGAAAATCATCCCCTAAAAATAAACTCATTGCCCTCTCCACAAAAATATAATAAAACAAAATATTTAAAATGTGAGTCCTGGTTTCTTTATAAAATTAGGGAATAGACTAGGAAAGCTAAAAATCTAGAGACTAGCCAATTGTAGCATCACACACTTGTAATGACAATCGTGGGAGGTTGAAAAGCAAGATGATCAAAGTTCAAAGCCTCACTCAGCTATCTACAATAACAAGTTCCCCACCACCCTAAATATGAGATCCTGTGTAAAAGACCAAATCAAGTTAAAAGGCTAGAAATGAACTGGATATGGTAGCTAAGTCTGTAATCTCATCACCTGAGGCAGAAGGACTGCTAAAAACTCAAATCCAGCCTATTCTATATAGTGAGTTCCAGGCCATGTTTGATGTTATAATAGTCTCAAATGTGCTACCGTCCCCAACACCCTCCAGCCCCCACTCAAGTAAAACTTAAGATCTGCCCTTCCTTCTCCTCACCAAATACTCCTGATACTAATCTAGACTTTCCAGACTTCCACCACAAGGGCTCTATAATTCATAGATAACCCAAGCTCTTTCCCACTTCAAGATACGAATTCAATTTCCTGCTCTTGAAAAATGCTTCCTCTGTCCACACACTTTACACAGGTGGCTTAACCTTCATGTCTTAAGATTTAGATGCCACTTCATTTTAATGAGATTCTCACACTTACTCTCAAGTAATCTGCCCACTACTTCTCAGGCTTTATTGTAATTTGTACTATGCATGTGTGTGTAATTATGGTCCCCTTAAATTCCATGAGGTTACAGACTACATTCCTCATGGCTTACCAGAACCTAGCAAAGCCTGAATGAAATACAGAACACAGTAAGCACCCAATTTATTACCCATTCAAAGCAATAATAGCATTTCTTTTAATTCCTTATTACTTATCTTCTTTTATATTCACTATCAAATTAACATACTTTGCCCCTAAATTACACAGAAGTCAGATAATTTAAACCTGTACCTAGATAATTCTACATTTTGCCTATTTTTTTGCTTCTACTACTTTTAGTTTTCTTTCACCATTTTATCTCAACTTACATCCTCTTTCTTCTCTCATCAACCATTTGAAACTATTCACACAGTCATCTACCTCCTCTTTGGTTTATGCTTTCTTTGGTGGAGGGCTATTTAGTCAAGCAAATGTAGAATCCAAAAAGAGTAAGTCCCAGCCAAGACTTCATATGTTTCAGGAGACCCTCAAGCGATCTATCTCTTCACTCGTGGCTTCTGTCCTCTGGTCCATTCTTCCTTACCATCTTTGTAATTACCACTATCTCTTCCTTAACAATACAGATTAAAGCCTATATGCTCACAATGCTTCATCTCAATAGTCATTCTTAAACAGTAAAGGAAATGCTGAGTAGCTAAAAACACATAATAAACTCAAGATGCTAAACTGGGCCTCTTCCTATTGTTTTCAAATCTCTCAACCCACTCTCCTTTTCTTTTTCCAGCTTACGTATGTTCATACTCAAGGCCTAAACAGGCTACTCAAGCACTTTAGACTTAAGCTGTATCTCCAGCTTTCTGTTTCTTATGAAGCCTAAGTTAGGCCATTTCTCTCAAATACTATCAAACTTATTTATACTTTCCAGCCAATTACTCAAAGCTACCTATTCAAACATGCTTTCCCACATGTACCACTCTAAATCTTTTGAATTTCTATGACATTTAGATTTGCATTGTTTAAATATAGCAAAACTGAAGACTTCTAGACTTTACCAAATGCCCAGAATTGAACAATTTACCTTCACTTTCTACTCATTAAGAATCATCATTAGTCTGGGGCTGCAGAGATGGCTCGGTGGTTAAGAGCACTGGCTGTGCTTCCAGAGGCCCTGAGTTCAATTCCCAGCAACCACATACATGGTGGCTCACAACCATCTACAGTGGGATCTGATGCCCTCTTCTGGCAAAAAGTCAACAGAGCACTCAAATACAAAAAATAAAAAATATAATCTTTTTAAAAATAAAAACAAACATTAGTCAAGAGGATTACAATACAGACTGTAATGCTATCAGATCAAAATATTTCTAGTTCTTCAGATAAAGCAAGACAGTTTCCACTTGACTGAATGCAATCCAACTTTACCTGAAACATGTTATCATCTCTGCTGCTGCTACTCTGCTTAGAAGATGCCAATGCTCTAGAAGTCTCACCAGGCTTTTGCTTCTTCACAGGTTTTTCTGGAACAACTTGCTTTTTCCTCTTTAACTTGAAAGAAAAGGTAAGAATACACACAGGTCAAGTTCAAAAGACTTCATTACTTTTAAAGAGTTAAAGAACCAAAAAATTTCTTCATTCATTAAAAGAAATATATGTACATGAAAAAATTTCATTAGAAAAGTAGTCTGCACTTACAATAATTATATTTCTAAACTGTGTTCTCAGAATCCCCAAAGATACTTCAAATATTAGGACAGTGATTTTTGAGAACCAGAATCCATATAATACTTCTTTGTAAGTGGGGAGGGAAATGACCTACAATTTTTGAATAATCTTTTAGAAACCACAAACCTACCAGAAGCTTTCCTTAAGAAAAAAAAAAAAAAAAAAAAAAAAAAAAAAAAGTACAGGTGTACAGGTACTCCCTGTAACCTTAATATTGAGGCAGGAAAACTGAAGATCAAAGACAGCATAGGCTATACACAGTGACTGTCTCAAAAAACAACTTATCTATGACTAAGATATGAATATTTATAAACTCCTTGTCTATTCCAAGAAGAATTTGAACTGTTTTCCAGAACATACACTTCCAGTCTAGTCTACATAGCAAGCTCCAGGCCACCAGGACTACATAATGAGACCCTGTTAAGGTGGGGGGGGGGGTGATACAACACATAGGAAAAAGAAATTATTTTATACCAGGCACTAAAAATCAACAACTCAAAAACTTTAGCACAAAGAATACTGAAGATAAACAGTACTATATTAAGACTAGCACTCAACCTTATAATATTTTAGAAACAGCATTTTATATATCCTCATTCTTAAAAAAAAAAAAAAAAAAAGACAAAAAAAACACCACGTAAGTTCACAGCCCCAACAGTAGAGGGCAGACATGTTCCCTCTTAGTGGACAAGTACAACCTACTATTTTAATGTTACTAAATTCACTGTATTAAATCTGATAAAGCTAAGCTAAGGATACATATAAGGCTATGAAATGGAAAACATGGGTGCATTTAATGTAAATGTTTACAGGATTAACAGTACTATGAGAAACCACAAAACCCAGCTCAGCAAGCAGAAGGCAATTCTGTGGACTAGTACATGCTCAGCAAATAACTTCAATATAAATTAGTTATATAAACATACCTAGATGTTACACTGATACAAATTTGAAAAAGATGTCTTCAAGTATAGCTATATATGATTGAAGCCTTATTTCAACCTTATAAATGATACTATATACTGTCTTTACATAGGCTCCAACTTTCCCAAAGAAGAGTTCCCTTTTGTTAGGTATTCCAAAGAAGGCAAAAAACAAATAAATAAATAAGCAAGAAAAAAGAAGCCAGGCAGTGGTGGGTCAAACCTTTAATCCCAGCACTGGGGTGGGGGAGGCAGAGGCAGGTGGAGCTGTGAGTTTGAAGCCAGCCTACATACAGAGAGTGCCAGGACAGGCTCCAAAAAGCTACACAGAGAAACCCTGTCTTGAAAAACCAAAACTAAAACCAAAAAAAAAAAAAAAGTAAGGTAAAAAGGGGGTTGATGCTTTAAAAAAAATCCATAAAACAATCCCCAGTATCCCAGGTAACCTTGAGCTTCTGATCCTCCTGCTTCCATCTCTACTGTGCTAGGAATCAAACCTAGGGCTAGGTCAGCACTCTACCAACTGAACTACATCATCAGCCCTGCCTGCTGCTTGTGAACAGTTGCAACCCACAGGTCTACTACTTATTTTCCACAAAACAAGTAAACAAATAAGGGTGAATGCAATTTGTTCAATTTCTAGGATATGAATGTTTATTCAGATATAAATGTCTATCAAGAGACAGCTAGCTATGTGGAAGGAAGTCTTGACCACAAGATGGGTTGCTCCGTTACACTTCACTGATGTGACCAATTAAGTGGAATGAGGCTGACAAAACAGCTGTCACCTAACACAGAAAAAGCGTATTCTGGCAAAATGGATAATTTTGTGTTTGCTGTGCTGGATGACTTTACTAAAAGCAAATAACTTTCAAACTTACAATGTACCAAAACTAAAATTCAGTAGTGGGGGGAGCATCCAGCACTGACTGAGAAAGCCAATCAAAATTAATGTTTTCATTCAAAACTTCAGTCGTGCAGCCCAACAGTGACTTACTACCTACAGATAAGGCAGATTTGAGGAAATTTTATATATTACTATTATTTTGTGTGTGTAGTACTTGTGATGCTTATTCTGTGGTGCATGAATGAGGTCAGAGGGCAAACTTTGTATAGCTGGTTCTCTTCTTCTTCCATGTGGAATAGGACCAAATTCAGGTTGTCAGGTTTGGTGGCAAGGGCCTTTACCACTGAGGCACCTCAGCAGCCTAGACTAAGCATAGAGATTTCTAAATAATGGGAAGCAGTGTCTTCGGCCTAATTATAATCTACTGTTCTAGAATCCAAGGAAGCATTTCTGTGACTTTAGGTTACTAGCAGTGCTCAATAGAAGGCCTGTTTAGTCTAAGCCACTCATGTGGCTAATGCATTTGGTTAAGATTCTAAGGTCAGCTCGGACAGCTTGGTGACCCCCTGTCAAAAATCAAAGTAAAAAGGGGGCTGGGGTCAGAGTTCAGGTGTGAGCACTTTCCTGGAATGCACTGGGACTCCAGGCAGAACGAAGTACAGCACAGAGGCAACCTCTTACGGCTGATTTAACCCTGCAAGTAAGTTTAGAAGCTCATACTCCACTCTGGCAGTCCATCTGCCATCTATCCACCCTTACATTCTGAACCTAACATTGGCGCATAATCCCAGCCCTAGGGGAAATCTGAGGTGGTTGGAGTAGTCAAGGATACATAGCAAAACCTATCTAAAAAGACTAACAAGCCTTTCACTTCAAAATTGGATGCCAGCATTATAAAGGAATTCATGCACTACAAATTTGGTACAATGAAAGTACTTGGTACAGTAAAACTTACCTTTTTTTCAACCTCACTGTCAGAATCACTGCCTGAAGAGCTTGAAGAAACAAGTTCCTTTGATTTAGGCATTCTGAAAAAAACATTACATGAGCAATTTATAAGGGGCTTTATTACCTTCATTTTAGCTCTCTCCCAATCAAAAAAAAAAAAGTTCCACATCTCATTCTGCCATTTCGTGGTACTGGAGTTACTACACTGGACACATGTCTAAATTGCAAATGACAAGCCCAGCCAAATACTCTGAACTCAGGACAAAGAAAAGCAATGTACACATTCCTTCACCTCTTTCTCAAAGAACTGATTTTAAAGGTTTATAAAGTTTATGGGTAGACTGCAAGAAAGCAGCTGAGAACAATTACTCTAAAGTCAAAAGACGGTACCTAAGTAATTCCACTAGAGCTAGGATCAGACCAAATGCAGAATTACTCAGACACCAGCTCCAACATAGGACCAACAGCTTGTCTATGAAAGTGTGAGATCTAATTACTATTACCATTTTTAAGCATTTTACCTGATTTGTAGAGACTAACTTTCATTTTGTGGCCACACTATCAAAATAACAGACACCAATCAGAGGTCACATGTTGTACACAGTTCACAGCATCTTGTACTTATTTTTCTATTTTGGTAAATAAGTAAAACTTGAGGGCTTTGTGTGCAGAGCAAAACTCGCCAGAGAGGCCCACAGCCCAGCTCAAGTTTACTCAGTTCCCAAGCATAAAACAAAGGGTAGACTATCTTAAGTCTAACCCAAATTTCAAGGAATCCTAAGGCATGTCCTAACTCCTTTTTCAAGACTCTTATACCAGGTGGCAAAAAGCTAATTACCAATGTGTCTCTTTCTCTCTCCATATTAAAATTATTAACTTCTGTATGATTTAAAGGGCCTAATAAACACAACACACCAAACTGTAAAGAACCCCCCTCGCACATCAGAAAAATTATAACCCAGCTCTCTAGACCAAACTGACACTCAATGTTGCAAAACAGAAGATCAAGGCCAAAGTGGGCTATCCAAATCCTCATCATTAAAATCAAGCCAGCAACTAGTCAATCCATTAAGAGTAAACACAGCAGAGAGCAGCAGGGCTCATAACCAGTTCAGTTCGCTTTTCCTCTTACTGCTCCATTTCACAATCTAGTCGCCAAAATCAAGTTAGTTTACTTTCCCATGCTAGCTGTTCACGCACCTACCCAAAAACCTGTCTGGAAAAGGGAGAGAACGTGAACATAAACCATTTTTCATTTGTAAACTGCCAGCCTTGTCTATCTTCCATTACGAAACGCTAGGGAACTAAAATTATTTCAAAGAACCACGTCATTATCTAACCTAAATCTACCCACTAAGAAAACGATGTAATGGTAACTAGAGCCAATCCTTTCCTTACACTCTGACTTTTAACTTTAATGAGGCTTCACAGGATTGGTTTCTTTGGGGAGCGGGGGGGTGGGGGTGGGGGTGGGGGGGGGGGGTGGGGGGAGAGGAGGGAGAAGGAGAAGGGATTGCCATGTGAAGCAATCTTGTTTCTAATTTGAGCTAATAAAAAAAATAATCTCTTGGGGGGAAAAAATCCAATGTAGTTCTTAGGACTTTGCCAGTAAACCTTTTTCAATTTATTGAGACATGTTTCTTTGCCAAACCTATGGTCTATCCTGGAAATGTTTCTGCACACAAGAACGTGTATTCGGTTGTTTGTGGGTGGTGAGTTCTGCATGTTTCCTAGGTCTAGTTGGTTTGTGGTGTCATTAAAGTCTTATTTAAGGACAACTTCTTTTGACTGATTTCCCCATGAACATGATTTATATTTTTCTGATCTTTGGTGTCTCATACTTTTTATTGCAAACAAAGTGTTTTAAACATTC